CCCCCCCCACCTCCGGTTTACTGGGGAAGAAAACAACAAAGCACAACGTTAATCTTTCCTCTTTTGACTAAACCCTTAGGTGTATAGATAAATACCATGATTATAAGCTGCTGTCAGGAAGAAAACTTCCTGAGTCGTTTACAATACAGAAACAATTGAAATATAGGCCACATAACACAGCAGTTGCATGCATTATGCATTTCTACACTGTGTTGATTAATCGATTAATTCTGAGCTAGAAGGCAACTTCTGAAAGTACACTGAGTCCTTGGACCAAGGCTTTTGAACATTTTTATCTTTGACAGATGATGGTTTAGAAAATCTGTAGGTTTCATAATTCTAAAGGATAGATATCATCAAACAGCTTGAAAATTCCCAGGATCTTAGTGAACTAGAGAGTCTAAATAAAGGGTCTTCTTTCTGTAGTTGACCTAACTGTGACACACACACAGGTACATTTATTGGGAGCTAGTTTAGTAGTGGTTGCTGTAAACAAGACTTAGATTTCTTGCTAGCATGTTAATGATCTGGGGCAATAATGTTCATTTCAGTTTATAAATTCAACCTGAGTACAGATGACACTGAAATGCCAGGCAAGGAAAAGATTGCCTCTCAGTGAATATCAGGTTATAAAGTCTCAGAATATTAATTAAAATGCTTCAACTAAAGCTAGTATATTATGATACAATCAATTTACAATAAAAAATAATTTCCACCCAATCAGATTGTCAAGAGGAATTCCGTTGCCTTTGCTCAGGTAGCAGCTGTTGTCAGAGCATGTGGACAGGGAGAAGAGAGGGGGCGCAGTCTCAGAAAAACAACAACTGAATGTTTGCTTTTCTAATAAAAACGTACACATAATATTAAAAGCAATTCTTCCTCTAAGGACATTTCCAATGTAATGTAAACTGGTACGCAAATATGTGTGTGTGTGTTTATCACTTGATTCTACTTGAATTCCAATTATCCCTCTGTCACTCATCGAGTAAGACTGGACATTCCTCTCAATTTTTCAGTGCCTCAGTTTCTTCATTTGTACAATTGAGTGAAATAATATGTATCACATAGGGTGGATGAATAGTTAAATAAGACGATGATTTCTATAAGACATTTCTAGGTCAGTATCTGCAGATAGCAACTACTTGAAAAACATTGAGCAGTAATTTGATCTCCATGTCTTTGTCCTGTTCTTTTTGGTTCTTGAGCCCTAGTTAAAAAGAAGAGACGTGGACACGATGGAAAAGGAAACCTAGACTATATGCGTTTGCTTCCACTTCTCTCACCCCTGAGACTTTCCAGTTTCTCATGTCACAGTAATGCCTGATATTGACCTAACCTTCAGACTGGCCAGAAACATTCTCTTGTATTGTGTCTGATGAAGGCTTGTCAACCTACCCAACAATCAATAGGCTATAATCAGAGCAAATAACCTTG